GAGACATCATTAATATAAATATAATTTTTATGGCCGTTAAATAATAAATGGTTTTTAGTAGGTCCGCTGCACGTTTAAACTCAAAGGTTTGTGCAATATCCGCTATTGGTCTAGATTCGAACAATCCTATTCGACCAATCCTATACGAGTCGGCAGTGGCGTTTTACCGTATCATACGAGTTTCTTTTAGCGTGTTTATACGAATACGATCGCAATTTTTTCGCCGTCATATTATATAAACTTATATAAACTTTATATAATACGGATTATATATTTATATAATCCGTATTATATAAACCCGTTTTATAGGGGTCTACTGTATATTATTGTTTTCCTTAATCATAACTCACTTAATCATAAGAGTTATAATATTGAAACTATTTTCGCAATTCTGCTATAATTTAAAAAACACAAAAAGAAAAACAATGGTTATTATGTAGAATTTTATGTAAAAAGTGCATCTAACCCGACAATAGACTCAGATACTTAACTACCTGTCGGATTTTCTTCCGGGCTAAATAATTACTAAGCAATTTGGCGAAAGGCAGCCATTTCTTTTTAAACATAAAAGATAAATTTTATTTTATTTCAGAGTATTATTCCATAAATATTCTTCTAGAATTTGATATAACTTTATAACGTTCATTTGTATTTAAACTCTCTAATTTTTCTAATACAGTACTCAATACCAAAATATTTGCTAGATAAGATGTAACAACAGACAAACGATTGAAAGTACTATCTTCTTTATAATATTATTTATATAGTTAATCACAATAGTTATTATAAAATTTTAGGGATAAGTAAACATACTTAAATTATAAATTACCTTAGTACGTATTGTCGTGTGTGAATAACGTTTGCAGTATATTGAATAATTGTATAAAGTAGGAAAGTATATATGTAAATACAATTTTTATTGTAACATAATAGTACATTTTTAAATAAATAATTCTTTTTAAAATATTAATTACTTTGTTTTATAATTATTTTTCATTTTAGTACTTTGCAGCGGATAATTTTCTCCAGTGTTTTAATTTTATTGGCGTACGCTGCAGCCGGATTTCTTCAGTTATCAATAGAGGTATAATAATTGTAAAGTAATTAAAGCAATATTCACGATATGCCACTGGACAGTCATGAAATAACTGACTAATAGCAACAGTGATATCACTGTCAAATAAGGTTTTTCGAGTCCTAGTATACATACTCGAACTCCATAAGTTATTAATTCTAAAATTCGATGACTCCGAATTCAAATTTTATTGGGTATGAGTTAAAAAATACAAAACCAATTAAATAACATACTTTTGCATGACTTCAACTGCATTTTTTTAATTTAACATTGAAAAATTCTAAACAAAGACTTTAAATTTACGTAAAAGTATGTCTTAACCAATTATTGAAGACACATTTTTATTTATCAGTAGTGTGTCGTGAATATTATAAAAGTTTATCGATAAAATTAAGCGTTCAAATACTTAAAATTAACTTTTTAATTGGCATATTTTACTGAAGCAAGCTTCAAACATTCATTTTTTTAATAGATAAATTATGGACAAGTTAATCGTTATTACATCAGATCAATTTCGGTTTCTTTTAATACCCTTCACGCGTGTTTACCGATAGAGCTGACTGAGGACATATCCTGTATATTCATCTGACGTGACAGTTTTCTATTGTGATGTACTATTCTTCTAGTAGGATATTTTCTTACTATCGTAAGCCTCAACATTCTGAAACCTGGCCAGAATCGAATAAATCCTCGTGAGATATACCATGAGAATATCACGCTGTCGTTCAACATTGCTGCTCTTGCTCTATGAGCGTGTTGCAATCAGAAGAATTCAATTTCGTGGCAAATTCTTCCTCAGTGTTGTAATTGCCTTTCTCTGTATAAAGTAAACTATTCAAAATTACTGCTCTAAAGGTAGAAATTCGTTGTGTTAGCCTATAAATGCTGCTTGATCTCATGGTAAGGTAGAGTCTTGCATAATAACTTGGTTATCGTTGATACGACCTTTCTATTATAATATGATAAAATATGTATTAACTACCGACGAAATATGACCAATTCTTGAATAATTAATCTAAAGAATGTATAACTGTANCCTATAAATGCTGCTTGATCTCATGGTAAGGTAGAGTCTTGCATAATAACTTGGTTATCGTTGATACGACCTTTCTATTATAATATGATAAAATATGTATTAACTACCGACGAAATATGACCAATTCTTGAATAATTAATCTAAAGAATGTATAACTGTATTTATTACTAATTATTTTAATTTCTTTTAAATACATACAGGGTGTCCACTTAAACGTCTATCCGTGGCAAGAGATCTTTCCGGTAATGGTTAAAGTAGATGAGGTCGTGAACTATATAGGACACATATAAACATGATATTACGGTGTCGTGGTACGCATCTGTTCCGCTGCTATATGCGACTAGAAAAACGTGCAGAGCATTCGAGTGTGAAACGTGATAATATACTTACGACGTGATGACCCACAACTTTTTCGGCATTTTTTATCGACCGATGAGGCACTATTTTCCCGAATAAACTTCACAATGTGCATCAATGAGCAGAGCTCGCTTCATGAAGCACACGACATATGAAACAAAAAAGCACGTTTTGCTTTAAACTTCAAGTGTAATATTTTGTGGGGCTTCATTTTTACCCATATTCGTTGATGGCATCCCGAATAGAGAATATCATATATTGTAAATGATATTTTGACTTTTTAAAAGTAGCTAATACACTGCTGTACAGTAAATATAGGTCTACTACACTAAAACCTGTACAGCAAAAGAAGAAACGATGACTTAAACTTTCTGAAAAGATAACTAGAAAAAATAATACTAAAATTTCGAATAAAACTTATTCATAAAATTTGTTTATATTTTGTTGAAATTCTTTGAGATAATGCCCGAATTAATATTGTAGTATTAATTCG